TGCGAATAATGGCAATAATGTACAGAATCATGTATTAATTCCAAGAAATTCTTAAGTGATTTTGTATGTTATTGGGATGGATATTTTAACAGACATTTTTTTTCCACCGGTTTTATAAAAAATCCTTGGAAAGGAAATGTTTGTGCTGTGCTTGAATGGTACCCATTTAATTGTCTTTAGTCGTGCGCTAACCTAATTGCTCTTTGAATGCCTTACATGTAAATTACGAGTTTGTTTTTACAAAGACGAATCCTCAAAAAAAGGAAAAGACTCTCACATTGTTCTTATAACTTCAAATTAGTCTTTTGTATTTTGGCGAATCGAATTTGTGGTTTCATAACGTACATTTTTATTCTTTATTATTATTTATTATTACTTTTTATTATTTCTTTCACATAAACATCCGACGTTCCCAAAATCCGGAACTCTATATATAAAAAACAATCACCTTGTCACTTAGAATGGAATTATTTAACATTGGTTTATAGTAAATCGTATTCGTTAAGATTTGTTAACTTAGGCTGATAAGATGGATCTAATTAACCAACCAACCGTCGATATTTTAAAATTTTCTTTTATTTTTCTTCGATTCGTATTTATCTCATCGAATAAATTGTACATTAACGTTTGATCAGATGGAATTCATTTTTATTCTTGCCTTTGTTTCCTTGTTCGTCTTTTTGATGTGGATTTACTATTATCGGAATCTTTTTTTTTGTTGGATACGGTTGCTTTCTTCTTGGCAATTCTGGGTTCTTCGTTAACCGACTCATTCTTACCTCCCGCTAAAGTTTTATTCTTTTTCTTGTTATTATCATCTTTCTTCCCGTCATCACCTTCGTCCACCTCGATTTTTCTCTTCTTACTGATGATGTCAACATTGTACGGCGTAGCATTAAAGATCGGTAGACTCGTAGACGTGCTTGTCTTGATAAGCAAGGATTGAATATTCCTCCATTTTCTCGGTATCTTATCGACTATTCTTGGTATACCGATTTCGATATTTTCGGATAGTT